AGCGGAATGACAGAGAGCAGGTATATTGGCGACGGTAGTTAGCGTGGCGTGGAGGCGACGTCACATGATCGAGGGTGTGACTTCCGGCTGCGTGGCGGCTCGCGGGCATTGAATGACGCGCCGGGGTCTGAGAGCCAATCCGCTCACGAGTTTTCCGTTTCCATTGTAGCGACGCGAAACGGACCAACGGGAGAACAGGACAAGGATATATAAAGCCTCTGTTTTTCCCACACGGACCGACCAAATTGTGACCAGGTTGTAGCGCTTTCTGTATCTGGTAAAGTTATTCGTGTTACCTGTCAGTCTTGTTCTTACCATGGGCCCGAAACCTACAGTCGTGATGCACAATGGCGCAGACATGTTGGGTCCTCTCGTGAACTAAAAATAGTTCAAGCAGATTAGCCTATCTGCTAAAGATGTGTGAAGTATTCGAGGATTGTTCTTTATTTGACACGAAAATCGCCTGAAATCAGCCAACTGAATTCGTCAAAAAAGATTCGGAAACCACCCTGTAATATTAGCTGTATTATTAATGATTTGCTTAACCGACGCCCATTTAGACCGACGGCATCCAGAGATTAGTCATATTGAGCCAGAAAATGCAAGTATGTAAAACAATCTTGGATGATTGGGTTGTAACTCTGAACTATATTCCTGCAGAAATGTTGTGGCGATAGTGAAGAGGTTTCTTATTTCACTGCAATTTAAATGGACTTCGGCAGTTTACAGAATGCATGGACAATGATGCAAAAAATTTGTTTTGGTGACTTCTTACATTTTTTAAAAATCACAAGCTGCTTTATTAAAAACGCCATTAACTCAGTGTGTGAGCAAGCAAAAAGTCAAGGGAACGTGCACACAAAGAACACCAATAATTTGCACCAATATGATCTTACTTATAAAATTAAGGCAATATAATCAGTGGTTCGAGGGCTAAAGTTATGTTACCGCTGTTTAAAGGCCAGGGCTGCCGATTAACGCGCACTTGGGCCATCAATGGATGCAGAGAACCCCAAAAAATTTAGTTCATTCATCGGATGGTATGCACACTTTAAAACCAGAAACTACAGATGATCATATCAATAAATGCATCTGATGTTTGCTGATAAATATGCAAGATAATAATCCTTGTGTGTCTCGTTACCAGGATCAAGGTATTGACGGTTCTAAAACAAGTAAATCTAATTTGAATCTGAGATGAAAAGCAATGTCTAGCAAAGTCAGCCGAACCCTTTGTTACTTCTAAAGCTTTTGTCAACACAAGCATTGCCAATCCAGAGAAAATGTTAAAATCTCCAATTAATACACCACAGCCTCTAAGATTTTTTACACATTGAAGCCAGTCATGCTCGTCATATCTCAGCCGATACTGAGAGACATTCACAAACCATTAACAAAACGTAAAGGTCGTGTAGGTTATCGTTCATTTTCAGAAAATTCTTGTTGCACATGTTTCAAAAGGACCGTGACTAGGTCTCTACGCCCTTTAAAAATGTTGCCATCATTTTAAAAATAACTGAAAATGCATTAAAAATTGCTGCGAATCCGGAAAAGGCTGTCACCAACGGCACCGTGTTGCAAAGTACGTGTCGAATTGAGTCTCAAGCATTTTTATACACGAATGCAAATACAATGCAAATGTTTGGAAGTTCGCCTAAAAACTCGGTTCGTTGAATAAGCTTCTAGGAATTCAGGCAGTTGCTATTAATTATGCTACATACTTGTCCTCAACCTGTTATAGCCAGACCAAGATATTGACATTCACATGATTTTTTTTGCTTATGTGGAAACACAATAGGAAATTTTAGAAAGAAAAGTATTCAGCTGACCAAAAAGTGTCCTGTTCAAATTAATGCTTTCTCTCAACCCGGTTCTCTTATGTGCTGATCCATTTTATCTTTTTACCGATTGCCGATACACCATTTGGCCAGGGAGTGCAGCATTTTTCATGTTATTTTGCCAAGAGCTATTTGTTTCATCATAATTACATCAGTTAGAACACTTGCAGAAGCTTAGCTTAGCACGACATTGCAACCCACTAGTTTAAAGTCCGTTGCAATCTGGGAAGATGGATAAGAGAGGCGGCAATGGATACGAATGTTTATTAGCGTTAAACTAGTCATCTGGCTTTGTGTGCAAATGAGTACGCATGCATGACAGGCGCTTCTAGCCGGAACCATAGAAAGGGGTGTCACTGGCGCAGTCGGGCTATCATACACGCATCACTCACGCTAGGTGGCTGTCTGTCTACTACACACTGTTCAGTTAACCCTTCAGCAGATTACACATGAATGTATTTGCTCTTCCGATCTTATTAAATGTATTTTTCCGACGTGTCTGTCTGCTAGTTTCTGAGCCGTTAATGTTATTTATAATGGGTTTTCAGTGTTTTACAGTAATAATTTTGTATGCGTCAGGGCAACGCGAATCAAAATTCAACTCTTCTGTGACCCGTGATTGCCGGCTTTGGTTGGGATTTCGAACAAAATATTTCATAAAAGTAAACCAAACCAAGCCAGTGAATGAGGGCAGTTTTTCTTTAGACCTGGAAATAAGAAGAATGAAAGGTAGATAACAAGACGCAAGGACGGGACAAGGACAGACACAATAACAAATACAACGGAGGGCCAAACTACCACGATGGACTGAGATGGACAGTGCGTCAGCAAATAAAGCTACCTATTTTGCAGCTAAAACTTAACATCTTAAAAATAATATGCTAAATCACCAATAAATGCCTTCGAATTTCGCGAGGGTTAATAATTCTAACAAACAGCTCGCAAACAACAAGAAGTGTAATCATGGCATTGGCAAACTTTCGAACATTCATGATTACATTCAACAAATACACCGTTCAAAAAATTAAGTTATCCTTGTTTTCAGGTACTTCTTAAGGTACTCAAGGTAATCTTACAAAATAATAGCTTTTTTCTTTTTGGACATCTCTGGTGCATGCAGGGACGTCTGTTGTTATTTTGACCCAAAACAGTTGCCATTTTTATAATTACCATATCATCTTTGACTCTTATTGCTTCTGAATACACTCACAAACCGACGTGACAAAATGCACTGCTCTTAACGGGCAACAAACAACTTTGTCCACCTCGTTGTGCTCTCACTCCGCCATTATCTGGGGTCCGGTGGTGTTCTCCAGTTCGCAAACAATGGGATCCATCTGATTCGCCTGAATTTTACAGTTAACAGTGTTGTGTCTAGGCAGATCAAATCCTCCGTGTTATTACTGAACTATGTGTCTCTTTTCATGATTTGGCACTGTGTGACAAAGAAAATTTGGCTGTGTTGACAATGACCCGACAAGAGCTGCAAATCGATGTGGCAGGGGACTATCGGCGGCAATCAAGGTAGGAAGCCCATGATGGAGAGGAAGCATTTGTAAATTCGTTTGCATGATCGAGTTGCGTTTGCTTTCGTGCAAGCAAAGTATTGTGTGCAGAGATAGTAAATGGATTAAGCACAATGGCCAAAATTCAGTGACACCAGTTCAAATAGCATGATGCAGAATTATAAGCAAACTATCGGACCATTAAAAAAGAGTACTTTAGCACTGAGCGACATTAACGTGGAAAGTCCTCTCCAAACGCTGAAGATAAATATCATATTAATGCGTCTAATTTAGAAGTACTTTCCACTAGCCTAAGGGCCACTATTTCTTAGCAAACACTTGTTATATATTTATGTTTGCTTTAATGCTAATGTTTTAAATAAATACGTGACCAATTTCTTATTTGGTAAAATGAGTGCTCGCGCTGCCTTTGTTGCTGATAATATAGTTCTTCCAAATCATATTTTTCTCAGGTGGGTAGCCCATGTTCAGCTCTGGCAATTCATATGCTCAGACAAAAGATTCGCTGGGTTCATTTAGGTCCAATATGTCTGCGCCCTGATCCGACGACACTGTAGAATACTCGAGCCCTAATAGGAAAAAGACCGGTTCAACTGAACAGGCTTTATTGACCAATCAGAAGCCAGAGCCACGCGTCAGGCGCCTTCCATCCGAGTCCACCACGTTGGCCACGCCGCTCATTATATACTGCATCTCATTCATGTCCTTCTCTGGTTGGCTGCCTTCCTTTCCCGCA